CACGGAGCAACCGGCGGCCACAGACGCGAACACCGCAACCGCTGCAACCGAAAGTGCTCCAGCAGCAGCAGCAGCGCAGAATCCAGGTCTGTTATGATACCGGTGAAAAGAATGTGTGTTGAAAGCTTTGAGTTTAATCGGAAAATGTATACTTTTCAAGCGCATGAATGGAAAAAAAAGTGAAAAAAAAAAGGATATAACATTTGGTTATAGCCAGGTGAAGTAGCGCGCTGTGCGCATATGGTAATGTAATGTTATAGTTTATTTCACGACACATTTACTACTTTACATGGCGGTTAAGGGGCTGTACTGATAATTCCTTCCCCTAACCACACCTTCAGTTGTCCGTGTTTACAGCTAAGGGATGAAACAAAGACAAATATCCCTACATATTCTCAGCACATGATATATGAATATGTCACATTGTTTATAAAAAATGTTCCGAAGCACTATCTCCCAATTCCCTCGCCCTCCCTGCGCATTAGCTTATTCCACATGAAATATTAAACCCGAATCTTCCAATTCCATTCTACCTGTTTATTTCTTGCGGCAGGTAATAGCTGAAATGAACTCCTTTCACATGTAAATGGGAATAATATGCGTGACCTCACTAATCATAAAATCCTTTCCTACTTCTTTTTTTTTTGTTTTCAAAGTTCCCATGTGATGTTTGATCAGTGGGATAAGGAAATGCTACGAAATGGGAATAGCATTCCCATTTACACACGTATATAATAACTAATCAACGTAACATCGAAAATGAAAGAAATGTAAATGACATGGAATTCAGACTAAAACCCTAAAATACTTGAATAGAAAGGTTTATTAACAACGATTAAAATAAGAAGAATCGAAGAGGGAGATGGGAAATGAGAATCACGAGATTAGTAAAATTAGTGAAATTATTTTAAAAATAAATCATAAATTAATAAATAAAAAGATATAAAACATAAAAATAAGAGGAAAATGGGCGTCGGAAGTTCTAATTTTGGATCATTTTCTAGGAAAGTAACATGGAAGATGATAAATCTAATGTACATGAAATGCAATTGATGTAGTACAGAAAATGCAAAAAAACCTTTTTTTTGGAAAAAAATAAAAAAAAAAATATGGTGCTCCAAAGCTTACGTCTTTTTTGATTTTATGTAGCAAAAGATGCTGTAGGCATGCGCTGAATTAGTGCTGATCGTAAGCTAATTCATAAATTTTTTCTAATTCTGTGATTTTCAAGAGTTTGTGGGTTGCGTATTTTAGAGCTTACTGCGGAACAGGAAGAAACGGTACAGGCAATCGTTGCGATGGGTTATCCTCGCGATAGAGTAAGTTACATTATGTTATTTTTGCCTTGGAATTATTTTGCAGGGTATGTCATGCATGTTTTGTCGCGGAGTAATGTTAAAATAAAAGAAACATGGGCGAAGAAAGGCCTAATTTGGTGTCATTTTTCTAGGAAAATAACGTGGGAGATGATAAATCTAATGTACATGAAATTGATGTAATACAGAAAGTGAGAGTGAAAGCGGTTTTTTGTTCTTTTTCGTATTTCTGTTTTTTAGAAGCACTTTTGTAGTTGTGGAGATCCTTATTTTTGACCGTCGAGGACGAGTACACCCCTCGGGTCGTCTTGCGCACTCAAAAAGTCGGCATATGGAAAGTCGGCAAAAAAAAAAAAATTAGAATCTGGGGAGCATGTATCTGGAAATAATAAGATCTAAGATTGCTTGCATAACAAATGATTTCTCAGTGGTACTGAGGACCGTTAAGGAGGTAACCCGGGTAGGTTTGGTAAAATTTAAATAAACGCAACGATGAAACAAAAGCTGGTTGAAGTATTTTTGGTGATCAATGAATAATGGACGTGTTTTAGGTGATCAGAGCGCTTCGTGCATCCTTCTTCAACGGCGATCGTGCTGTTGAGTACCTGTGTTCAGGTATACCGGAAGACGAGGGCTTTGAAGGTTCGTTGTTCTGTTTGTAACCGATAGCAATAAGCCAGGATCAGCGGATTGTTTCATCGATGTGAGAATGTGGGGTTTTGAAATGGAAAGGGATGAAATATGAAGAAACGAAAAGGAATGTAGGAAATGAAAATTAGAAAATTTGCTAAATGATTATAACGGTAAGGGTTGTTTCGGTCCATTAAGTCGTGTACATTTCTTACAAGTTGCCACAATTGGACCTCGTCAGTTCGGCGATTATGGTAGTTGAAGGTAGTGGAAATTAAGTTTAAATTAGTTATGCAAAGCATGTTAATGGTAATCAGATTTGAGGGAATTGATAAAATTTATAGGATCCAATAAATAGCCACTATATTGGCCTTTGAAAAGATGATGGACTTTTCGGTGATATCGGTAGCCCTCACCGCAGCAGTTCAGCCAGGCTTAGCGGAATTTTAGAAAATTGCATGTTAACTGAAATTAAGTACCAACTAGAGATGTGCTGCCTGAAATCAAGGGACTTAGCAAACTGCAAATAAATGGCCAACGCACGGGCTGCCCGTGCGAAGATGCGTTTTTTGCAGAGTTCCCAGCAGTTTTTGTTGCTACCAGCATCGGTTTTTTCGGCAGATGCTTCTAGCTGAAAGAATTTCAGACTGGCCGCCAGAACTGTCAGAAAACACTTTTCGGCAGATGCTTCTAGTTGAAAGAATTTCAGACTGGCCGCCAGAACTGTCAAGAAACATCCCTTTTCGGCAGATGCTTCTAGCTGAAAGAATTTCAGACTGGCCGCCAGAACTGTCAGAAAACATCCCTCTTCTAGCTTCTCACGTTCTCGAGTTTGAACTCGTTGATACCCACTCAGACAGGGAACACCCTCCTAATATTTTAGCTTTCTAGCATCTCAGAACCCCGAGTTATGAATTTACGCGGGAAAAATTTGGGGGGGGGGG